TTGTGTTGAACTGAAACTGCAGTGTATACAAAATGAAACTGAAGAACAAAGTTATTTTTTGCGGAACGGCGCGAAACGGATTCCGTTTCTTTTCATTAAATAAAACGACATCGTTTTGGTGCGCGGTGCATAATTAATTATGCACTGCAGTGCACAATATAATTTGCCGTTAAAAAATATGTTAAAAATTCTTAACAAATTATATGAATTTAATTTATTCAAAAAATATTTTCTTATAGATTAATTTTTTTAGTAGAAGAATCCAATATCTCTTATTCGCATGCCTCTTTACTAAAAAGGGAATATATAACATTTTTATTATATGCCACTTTTTTTTTTCCTATTATCTCAACCTGCTTGATTTAACTAAAATATTTTGTTATATATTCCCTTTTTAGTAGAAGAATCCAATATCTCTTATTCACTTTTGATATTCCCAAATATCCCACCTAATATAACATTTACAACATTTTTGGTTCACATAATATATGGAGATGAAAATTATTCCCGATAATAGACTTACTCCATTGTTTGAGAACTCTGGTATTAAGCTATGGTCCTCTGACTATTGTGATTTTCCAAAATCAGTCCTCGTCTTTTAATTTGGACGAAATAGACCCTTTACTATTAAATTTGTTCCGCCATTGGTCCTTCCGTTAACATGAGGTTATACATCCGTTAAGTAAAGGGGTACAAGCGTAATTTCCTTAGCTATGTCTCTTTCTTGTCCTTCCTGTTCCGTGCCCGGTGGATTTGGCGAGGAAAGCGAAAGAAATTTCGACGGAAAGCTGTCCATACAGGATGGATTATTGGGTGTAAACAGACGATGGATTCATGACGTGTATGGACTGACATTGGGTGTAAATTAATAAACGGTGCAAGGAAAATATGAGCAAGATCATGAGCTACTCAACTGGCATCGACTTTGATCACAATGGGTGTAAGGAAGACCATCCTCAGGTTCTTCATTCCTCCATAGGGGAAACTTGGAGGCAAAACCAATAAATCAAATCTTTCCCATTCATAAGGTCCAAAAAGGGTCTCTCTAACCTTGATCATCTCCTCTGTTTCTGCAAACTCCTTGGCGGTAGCATCCAACACCGTAGGGGCAACCTCTGAATAGACCCTCGTCCGTGGCCCCACCTCCCGGAACCCTAGTTCCCCAATTGCGAAGGCAAATATATGGAGGAATCGACTGTTCCATCACAAACTCTTCCACGACACGACGATCCGCGCACTACTTTGCATCCTCACACACTCCATGAGCTTCGGCTGGCAGCGGGGACCGCCTTCCCACGTGCTTGGCGGACATCACCACCGACAGCTGGTTTGGGATGTTCAGTTTCGCTGAGTATTTGATTTTGGCGGTCGGGGTGTCCTGGCAGGGGAAAATGGACCTGGTGTGGATGGACTGACATTGGGTGTAAACAAACAGGTGGGTTTTGTTAAAGGTTTGTTGCGGCGAAAGCCACCGGAGAGCTTTCCGCTTGGTTGTAAGCAAACGGTGGATTATTGTATCAAACCAACAGACATGAATCCATCGGACAGCTTTCCATCAGGATTCCTCTCGCTTTCCTCGCCTAATCCACCGGGCACGGCTAAGAAAATTACTGAAGTCGTTGAACATGAAGGACAATAAGGAGACATAGCTAAGGAAATTAGTCGTGTACCCCTTTATTTAACGGTTGTGCAACGCCATGTTAATGGAAGTACCAATAGTGGAACGAATTTTATAGTCAAGGGTTTATTTCGTCCAAATTGAAAGACGTGACTAATTTTGGAAAATCACAATAGTCGGAGGACCATTGCTGGAATTAACTCTAAGGTATTCATGTGTTCTTAGAAATATATATATATATATATATATATATATTTTGCTATAAATATAGCCCTATCTATAGTATCTGCTCAACATAATTATGCCAACATACTTGAATGGGATGAGGCTCGAACATGTGACTTCCCGTTTGGAATAATAACTTTTTTTTTAAGGCACTCATTTTTATTTATAATATCTCATTTATCCTTACCTATATTTTGTTACCTATTATGATGTCATAATTATGCCATCATCCTTGATTGGGATGAGACTCGAACCTGTGAACTTCCATTTGGATTGATAGCTTATTTTTATTTATAAGAACTCATTTATCCTTATCTATTTTTGTTACCTATTACTCCGTATTATTTTTGCGTAGTTGTAGTATGTTAGAGCGAGAACAATGTTTCTTATAAAAATTTTGAAAAAAATTATATTTATCAATATGAGTTATCAATGGTTAGAAAATAAATGAGAAAATGCATAAGGAATTTCATTAATATTACAAAATTTTCAAAGATTGTAATAATTACGAAGTGACACTAATTTTTTCCCTATTCCCCCTTATTTTGTAAATGTTGATCAACCTAAATTAATGGATGAAATTATTTCACTTTTTTTTTTTTAAAAAAAAAAAACAGGAAACATTGGTCTAATATGATTGAAAAATACTATGTATACTCCTACTTTATAATCTCAATTTGTACTCTCACACACAAAATCTTGATGTATGCACATGTATTAGGACCCACATGAAAAACAGATAGTTTATCAGAACCCGTCACATCAGGGAGTAATATTTTTTTTTTTTTGGGGGGGGGGGGGGGGGGGGAGGGGGATGGGAGGATGAGAACTGTAATGAATTGTATAAGACCTAGGTATATATACAAGAAGAGGCTTAGGGAGACTAGGATTGAGAGACTTAGGGAGACTAGGATTGGGAATCATAAGTAGACTCAAATACATAGATAGAGTCCTAATACTCCCCCTCAAACACAGAGTACAGATGTGACCTGTAGCTTGTCTCTAAGAAAAGAAAATTTAGGACCTGCTAAAGCTTTTGTAAATATGTCAGCAAGTTGATCTTTGGTAGAGATAAAGTTGACTTGAATCTCTCCCTTGGCAACTTTGTCTCTCACAAAATGTTAGTCAATTTCAACATGTTTAGTGCGAGTATGAAAAATAGGATTAACACACATATATGTAGCACCAAGATTATCACACCACAGTTTTGGAACTGAAATCCCATTGATGCCAATCTCACGTAAGAGGGAGAGAACCCAGATCACTTTACCACAAACATCAACTAACCCCTTGTATTCAGCCTCTGTAGAGGATCTTGCAACAATTCTTTGCTTCTTGCATACCCAAGACACAAGATTTGACCCAAGAAAAACAGCATAACCATTGGTTGACTTATGATCTTCAGGGCAGCTAACCCAGTCTGAGTCAGAGAAGGCATTCTCTGGATTCAGATTTTCGAATGCGTAAACTATAGATAGAGTCCCTTTGACATACCTCAATACACGCTTCGCTTGTTCCCAATGATTGACCGTAGGAGCATGCATGTGTTGACAAAGTTGATTGATTGCAAAGGATAAATCTGGTCTGGTGATAGTAAGATACTGAAGAGCTCCAGCCAGACTTTGATATTGCGTAAGATCATCATATAAATCTGTAGAGTTAGCAAGAGATTTTGAAATAGGTATTTGAGTGGATAGAGGTTTGCAATCAGTCATACCAGCACGTTTCAAAATATCCAGCATATACCGTTGTTGAGATCAATGTTGCAAAACACGGTAGGCGCCGATTTTTATTTTTATTATTTTTATTATTTTTAAAATTTTTAATTTTTTTTTAAAAAAGTCAAAACTAAAAATTGTAAAATTCTAATATCTAATTACTTAAAATGGCTAAAAGTCTAAAAAACATTTTAAAAATTATAATCCATTAGTTTAAATGTTTAATTGTAAATTATATAGTATATACTATATAGTTAATTAGTTATATATAGTATATACTAATTACTATATACTATATAGTTAATTAGTTATATACAAGTAGTCAAGTATACAAATAAAATATTAAAAGTTAAAACCACAAAATGTCAAAATCACAACTCATAAGTCATAAATCATAATATGATAATCCATTAATCCATACTCCATAGTTCATAACTTCATACATAGTCCATAGTCCATAGTTCCATACTTCATAGTTCATAGTTCATAGTCCATACAAAATTACAAACTCCAAAAGTTCAATACAAAGTACATGACAATTAAGTCCAACAAGATATCAAATTCAAGTATTCAATCTTCAAGGTTTTGTTCTCCCACTTCTCCATCTATCACACGATTTTCATCATCTTCAAACTCATCAACCACTTCATCTTCTTCACTTTCGGATTCAAAGTTCTCTTCTTCAAGCTCCCTCAATCTAGAACTCCTTCGTGGTCTTAATGCTTCATCACCCTCATTATTAGCCACTGCATCTTCAACAACAACCTCAACTTCATCCTCAACAATCCAATCTTGTGCCAAGCTTGAATCACTACCAAGTAATGTTTCTGCATTTTGCTCTTTTTTTCCTTTTGTTCATCAAGTTTGCATTGAATTGCACAAAGACTAGATTGTTTAGGCGATTAGATTCCAACCTTTTTTTTTTTGTTTTGTTTTTGTTTTTGTATGTATCTACAAATATGCAAAAGTGCAAAACAAATGTATCAACTATCATTCCATCAAGTGTGCAAACAAAAATGAAAAATAACTAAGTAAAGACTTAACTAACCCATTCAAATGTACTCCAATTCCTTTCACAACCCGATGAACTTGAAGTAAGAGATAGAATCTTCATAGCAATTGTTTGCAAGTTTGGAGTTGCCAAACCATAAGTTGACCACCACATTGCTACATCAAAATTCAAAATTGTATAAAAGATTAAAAGTATAAAACATATGAAGTATAAAACATATGAAGTATAAATATCAAAAGATGTAGTAAACTAGTAAAGTAGTAACTTATTTAATCAGATCATATCGCTCATTATTAAACTCACATCCTTTGACCGCAAGTGTTTTCCCAAATACACCTTCTTTCTTCTTATACTTGGGAAATTCATCATTCAATACCGTGTTTTGCATTTCTATATCACCATGATAGTATGTTTCAAAAATCTCAATTCATCCAAGAGAAACAATTACATCCAAATGAAGCTGAGGATCCTTAAAATGATAATAAGGATTCAACATGAAAGCCATCAAATGAAGAGGAGAATCTAGCCTATTGCTCATCTTTTCTTCAACTATCTTAATAATAAGCTCATAGTTTCTTTCAACTGCATTGAATGCCTTCTTAATGTCTTCTTTGACTTGCATAAGCTCACCATAAACAAATCCCATTGAAGGTCTCTTATCCTGATCAACAATGCGAAGCACCTTCACCAACGTTGCAAAAACATTCAAGCATAATATAACCCTTTGCCAAAATGAAGCATTGGTGACAGTAGAATAGGCAGCTTTCCCTTTAACTGTTTTGACATGTTGGGAATAACACCCAAATAAGTATGGATTATTTCCATCCACAATAAATTGTGGAGTGAGGTTTAACTCCTACAAATGTGGTCCTCTCCACCACTCCCCTATTTTAGTGGAAATTGAATGGCTAAGAGAGGAGGAGCAGGTAATTCTATAGCTAGAATTACCTGCTCCTCCTGAGCTCTAAACGCTCAATACATTCTTCTCTTCTTCTCTTCTGCAATCCTGAGCTTCGGTGTTAACTGGTCGAAAGCAACCGGTAAGACTGTTACCGTCTCCGGGCAATATTTGCTTTTAAGGTAGTGTCTTGCGCACATCACCGATTGATTCAAGATTTCTTCTATACTCAACCTATATAAACAGTAGCCTAGATCTACGACATATTCTGACCAATTTTCCAACAGTTAAAAGCAAATATCTGTGCTTAAGTTATCATGTCGACCTTCGGATCTAAACCTCCTTTGACCTCGCCAAGCTCGAACCTCTCACCGGTCTGAACTACCGCCGGTAGGCGATTAAGATGATGATCCACTTCAAGTCTGTCGAACTCTGAGCTAAGTATTATTTCTTTAATACATGTGTATGTGTTAATTCTTTTAATGAGTGTTATAAATATTTTCATGCGTCATCACCATATTATATTTCATCTTTTGGTTCGTTATCTTCAGTGTGCACAACATGAGGATTGACATAACTAAGAGATAATTAGCTACATGCTTTTCAGCATACAAAATTATTAATATTTTGTATATATTATGACTTAGTCATTATTAAATCGTGTGCTCTTGAATTTAAAGTGTAAGCAGTTATAGTTACGATGATGATATATCACATAATTATCTTTTATATCATATTGGTCTTAAAGAATTGAAATAGCAAGATCATTATGTTACTTAAACATGCTCTCTCACTCTTAACATCCAAGATATAAATGGTTAATCTTGATGATCAATATTTCATGCATATTGTTATGTCTATGTGTAGGCATGTGTTTCTTGGATTTAGAGTTGTTCGAAAATGTTATATATGATGTTCTTCACAAAATGAGATCAAAAAGTGATTATGCGTTAGATAACTGGGGAACATAAATTTAAAGTTATGCATGATTAATTTATTAGTGGGGGCTATTTGTTCCTTCAAATTGAATATGAGATACATATATAATTATATATCTTTGTCACATGGTTCTAAAGATTTAAATCATGTACTGAAATTATTTGTATAAAGATATAATAAGTATATATCAAAGTCTTTGGTTGCAATTTGTTTGTAGCATGGAGTTGAAGAGTCATTATTCATGTATACTCTTTGCATAGCTCAGTCTTGCCAATGAGATTTGCCTCCTCATATTTTAATATGGCACATGCATACTTATATGATAATAGACTATCATATGCAAATGATTGTCTTGAGCATTAGTAGTCATATATTATTGGCATTGACCATGTCCCTTAAAATTATCATAATGACACAATTTAGAAGATGGTTTGCCTATATCTTTGCATTCAATTGATTATTATCTTTTGAGAGCATGTTAAACGTGAAATATATATTGTGACAAGCATTTTAGAAATCACCATTCCATATTTTGTATGGTGAGTGCTTTGAATATTATATAGAAAATTAACAGCGGTGTACACAAAGATAATTGAATTGTTATTATTTACATGTATGAGCTTTATGAATTTGTTGTGTTAGAAGTGATGATTTAACACTACTGCTAAGTGATTAAATCATCAATATGATATAAAGCCTATAAATTGTGTACTTATGCACATGTCAATTTACAACATTATGTGTTATTATTGTGGATATGTTACAAATATTGCACTATTTGATGAGATACATACTATATTACAATCACATAATCTTAAATATTTAAATTGTGTACTGAGTTTAATTTCAAAGGCTTTACTCACATTTATGGTGGTAGCATGGAAAAGTCATTGTTCTTGAATACTCTGTCTAGGAAGATGGTTTTTAAGAAAACTTCGGTTTCACCACTCGACCTGGGAGTTTTAAGAAGTTGGGTGTTGATCATGCAGGCTAGTTAGAGCGCCACTTGATCTTCACCTGAAATGAGGTTGACTCTCATATGTTGTTAATCAAAGCCTTGCAATAGAAATTGTTGAAGTACTGCAATAGTAATATTGATCTGCATCCTATGAATGCTTTATATGAGTTTTAATTTTCTCAAGGGAATGGAAAGTTGTGCAAGTGGCAACTCTGAAGTCTCATTGTTGAGAGATATTTCCGAATAAATATGAGCTCGAACATATTCCTTGTGTATAACATTAATTTCTTATAAGAATATGATGTGAAATTTGTGATTATGTTGTTCAACTTGATGTAGCATGTGGACAACATTATTTCTATGGCTTACTAACAATGAGCGTTTGTATATATATATATATATATATATATATATATATATATATATATATATATATATATATATATATATATATATATATATATATATTATTTAAACTCTTGGTTGAGTCATATTGAAATACCTATAATTCCTAATTAAAGGGTAATTGTGATCAATTGAGATAACCAAGTTTGTTGAAATATATTCAACTGTTGAGCATGTATCAGGCAGAGTGCGAAGCTTCTATAATGCTCCACAAAGCAAATCAGCAAAACTCAGTCTACAAAGGAACTAATGTTAGGCACCAAAGATCAGTCTGGGTAAGAGATCAAATACATTTGACAACAAATATTTGTAAGTGTTGCATTGTGGGGGTAATAAACTCCTTATATTCTCATCAAAAGTTTCTCTGTGGTATTGAGAATAATGATGAAAGAGAATGTTTCATGTTAAACATGAAAATATCAAGGGATTATTTACGAGTAAACAAAGTACTCGTCAAAGTGCATGTAAGTTTGGTCAAGAGAATCAACTTACTTGAGGGCTAATTATGAGGATTAGTCGCTGACTCATTGGAAGGGCTTAAAGTCCAAGTGGTAATGAATTCGTGGTGGATCCCACTTCTATGGTCAAACGAAGCCATGAAAAGAGTTACAAAATAGTACACTAGTTGGTCATTCCGACAGTGTGTGTACTTGTGAGGTTGAGCTACAGCTCTTAATGAATTCATAACTCTTTGAGAAAGGGTGGTTTTGTTGAGACAAACCTAATGAATTCACCGCATAATGACATGAGTACAAAGTGCTCCTGGTGACTTATACTCAATTGGGATGGTCTATGTTGAGGTAAACCTAAAGAGATCCCTAACTTGAGTAGAAAAGGGATAACCGCCTCTTATGAAAGATAATGGGGTTATCCCAAGAAGCTGAGTGGCTAAGAAATATGTTGATAAACGTGGATTTTTGGGGGTGTCTAGCTAACACCTTCACTACATATACATTGTGATTCACAAACTGTCGTTTGCATTGCAAAGAACAATGCCTATGATAGAAAGAAAAGACTTACAACTGACTTATGTACTTAACTACTCTATAAGCCTTTAAAGGTGGTCTATACTGAGATAGACTTGATAGAGTTAAAAGTCTATATTGAGATGTACTTGACAAGGCATAAAAAACTATAATGCGATTAGACTTGTCAGAGTTAAAAGTCTATGGTGAAATAGACTTAGACATGGTGGAAGTCTATATTCACTACAAAAAAACGATGAAATAACGACGGATTTAGCGACGGACGCATTCCCTTGCTAATTTACCGACGGAATAACTACAAATTAGTAATAGATTTTAATTTTTTTGTTAAATGAATATTTAACGACGGTCTAGCGACGGATTTACGACGGAAATTGCGATGGAATAGTTCCGTCGTTAAATGCGTAGCTAAATTTAGCGATAAATGTTGGCGCAAAAATTAGAGGCAAATTTACGACGAATTTGTGATGAAATTTTGCACGGGATAATTTCACAATTTTAATTGCTACAGAATAGAGACGGAAATATATTTCCGTCGTTAAAGTTGCAAGAGACATTTATTCGTTCTTACTATTTAGCGACAGATTTGCTTATCGGTCGCTAGATAGCGATGGAATTGCCTATCCATCGCTAGATAGCAACGGAATTCATTGCCGTCGCTGGATTTATAATGTGAATTTAAGTGAGTTTATATTCTACTGACGGATATTTGGACCCGTCGCAAGAATTACGAGCGGGAGGTAATTTTTTAATATTTAACGACGGATCTTAGATACCATCGCTAGCTAGAATTGGGATTTGTTTGTTTTACGCTCAGACGACCCTCGCTGCCAAGAACCCTACCTCTTGCTAACACTCAGACTTCTCCGCTCAAAAAACGCTCTGACGACTGCCGTTAATTTCCTCCCATCGCTCACCGCCAATCGCTCAGACGACCACCACCGTTAATTTCCTCTCACCGCCCACCGCCAGCCGGCGCTGCTTCTCCGTCAACCGTCGCTTCCCCTGTCGCCTATTCCGTTTCTCTGGTATGTATTTCTTTAGGGAAAAGGGTCAAATAGGTCCTCGAACTTTAGCTTAAAAGTCAATTAGGCCCCTAAACTTTTTAAAGGTGCAATTACACCCATCAACAATTCATTTAGGTGCAATGAAGCCCAAAAACAAGTTAATGACCTGCTATCATAGGTCATTAGTGTTCAGGCCATTTCCGGCAAATTTTCCGACAAAAAAATGTGACCAGCAACCGACCCAGATTTGCCAAAAATTTCGCCGGTCACTTCTTTTGTTGAAAATTTCGCCGGTCACTTTTTTTTTTTTTTTTTTTTTTTTTTTTTTTTTTGCCGGAAAATTCGCCAGAAGGTGGCCTGAACCCTAATGACCTGTGATAGCAAGTCATTAATTTGTTTTTGGGCTTCATTGCACTTAATGAATTGTTGATGGGTGCAATTGCACCTTAAAAAAGTTTAGGGACCTAATTGACTTTTAAGCTAAAGTTCGAGGGCCTATTTGACCCTTTTCCCATTTCTTTATGGCTTCTCAATATTTGAGTGTAAAGTATTTTGTGCATTAACAGTCAAATATTAAGCCT